GTCGCTCGTACACAGGAAGAAGTCTGTCGGGCGTTGACTTTAGATCATTTTCAAAATTTCTTTTCTTGATTTTGATTAATTTTTTAACGCTAGTTTCCTAATTACTGTCTCAATAAAGACCAATTAAATCAAAAGAGACTAACTGTGTCTGACACTGACTGGCCAACTTATCAGAAACCGGTTTTTGAATTATTAAGAGTAATGTTCGCGATGCGGTATCTTGTGATCAGGGTGAGCTTCCTAACCATCGGAATAATTAATTATAATTTCAAAATTTTTTGATACATTAGTTTTACATTTTCTTTATTTCGAGGTTTTCAAAATTTTTTTCCCTTTTTTTTTACTGCATTCTTATCCGGATTTAATTCTGGCATTTATACTCTCGAGGTGAGGAAGATCACCATGACTAGTTAATAATTATTATATTCTATGTATGTGAGTTTATTAGTTGCCTCTGAAGAAGGCTCAAAAATGAGCCGAAACATAAAAGCACTTTAGTAAAATAAAGACGTTTTACGCTACGATAGTCGTGTTATTTGCGCAACGTCTCCCGTGCTTGACTCCTATTGCCCTTGTTCTTTCCTTGTTTTCTGATTTATAAGGAGTCTTAGTCAGGTTGATTTATTATACGTTATTTTCTATAATGGCTACACACTTTCAAATTGTTTTTAGGTGTCTCACGGAATACTGGTTCGGAGGTTATATAGTACATATACATATGATACAGTAGAAGAAAAGTCCGTTCAGCAGAAATCATAAGCTGCTGGCAGCACAGCACAAAGCGCTCACTAAGCTGCTTTCTTCGCTGAACGCAGCCAGTGGTATCAAAAAGTACACTCAGTGATAGATCAAAGCGGTCTGCACAGTCTCTATACGATGATACTTCATGGCCAACGAACCACAAGAATGTATATAAATGTTTCTCAGGAGATATAGCATCTCGACCGAAATCTAAGAAAAAAAATTATGTAAAATTTGTTATACATATAAATAAAACCACTTTTCGAGTTATATAATACATATATGTATTTTTTTACTTATTTATATCTTTTGGAAAAAAGATTATACGAGATGACATGAGCAAAAATGAGAATTGTATTAACCATTTACAATAGATGTGTAATGCACTGATTGCGAAAACTGTAAAATAAGTTGGTTAACAACATCTCTTCTTAATCTAAAATGTTTTACAAACTCTTTTTCGTTGTACATAATTTGTTATGCAATGTTTCTTTTCGTCTTTAGAAGACGAAGTAGAATCGAAAAACATTTCCTGGCCGATAGACATTTCAGATAAATCGGACGATGATGATGATGAGGACGAAGTACTCATGATAAATTTATACACAAAAACGTATATTGCAAAACGAAATAAAATGGAATCGAGAAATGTCAACAGTATGCACAGGTTATGTTCGATCAGATTCGGTTATATGGTCGTGTTCTTTTTACAGCCGTCTGAGTAGTCCCGAGTTCACTTCAGAGTCGTTCAGAGCACAATAAATAGTTATCTTCCTGTTTTACGATCCATTTCCTGAGTTCTATTATCTTAACCTAAGAATACCCAGGTCTGATTGGGTCTGCTCCGAAGTAGACCCAGAACTAGGGATGGGTAGTGATGCCGATTCTTAAATCGATGCATCGAGAATCGATTCTTTTTGCTCTTGAAAAATCGATTTTAATTCGATTTTTTATTTCTCGATTCTTTCGGAATCGATCCAATTTTTCAGAGAATCGTATCGACGATTCTCAATTTTTACAAATTGTTAATTTCGAAAGGAAGGGCGCACGAAGCTATTGTACTCTGCCAATCACAGCACCTAGTTTTTGCTACTCAAAGACATTGGGCGCGTTCAAGTTGACAAAGCGGCTAGCCTGCTCACCGAGCAAATGAACGTAATTGGTTATTACTTATAGATCCAACCAATCATATTCAATCGCTCGATAAGCATGCCTAGCCGCTTTGCAGTCTTGAACTCGCCCATAGTGTTGCTACTGCTCTAGCGCAATGGACCAATCACAATAAGACTGATTTAATATGTGATTGGTCTGTTATTGGTCGGCAGTCAGAG